ACTACGAAGGATGGAGAGACACCATCTGCAGGACCTAGGACCCGCCGAATGGTTCAGTATCGAGGCCAAGCCTGCGAAGGATAACAATGCCGGAGACGGCAGGGGAGAAGCCGAAGGCGTACTGATCGGAGGGTCGGGCCGTCGAGAATTCATCGCGCCACGTACCGATGGTAACGAAGGCGATACAGAAGAGGAGAACGAGGTCAGGCGTACCACTTCGATCATAAGAAGCCGCCCGGAAACGGACGAAGAAGATGATCTGTATGCCGATCCAGACCCTGACATCAGGACCCAGAACAATGGTGCCGCTCCACCACGTGCAACAACTTCTCCGGCACAAGCAAGGCCGACCTCAGGACGAGCAGCGACGGCTCCCCCGACAGTGTCCCACCAAGGACCACCACATTTGAGTAGTAGAGGGTCAGGAAGTGGCCCCAGTAGCAATAACAGCTCCCGGACGGGAGGAGGTAGTCAACGTCCACATAGGCATGGAAACGGGCATGGGAACCCGCCCGGAGGAGGCGGCGATCCTGGATCAGGAAGTGATGGAAGCGATACTGAATCGGGAAATGATCCGCGCGGCCGGATACCGAGATCACAACGAGAAGACGAGCGAGCACTGCGAGAAGGCTCGTACATACCGTTCAGCAATGAGTTTACAGGAATCAGCCTACGGACTGTGTATCATAATAGAATTAAATACATGATCGAAGTATACGTAGGTAACTACGTCGAACCAGACCCGAACACGAAGAGTCAGAAACCTCCAAGCCCAGACACCTGGAATGGACAGAATGACGCTGACAAATTCATGGACTGGCTTGAATCACTTCTCGAGTACTTCGTGCTTACCGGACTTTCGGGACCTCGCCGAGATCATTTACGGAAATTACACACGCCCGCTCGCCTAGGCGAAAAGGCACGCCATTGGTGGCGTCTCAAGGTATCTCGCACTAACCCAGGAATACCAATGCTCGATTTCACTCAAGCAATTCTTGAGATGTTCGACCGCTTTGTAATAGATATCACGCCTGAAAAGGCAATAAGGAAATATAAAGAAGTGACTTTTGACCCTGAAGCAGGGGTACAAAGTTTCTATGATGAATTAATTGAAGCCTCGTCAAGATTATTGCAACCTCCCTCGGAGGTCGACATGTCTGAACACTTCCTAACTAGGCTACCACAAGGTTACATAACTCACTTAATGAGGAACAAGAACGTGCGCATTGGGATAACTAAACTACGGGACATGCTACGGTATGCGATCGCGTATGAGAATTCGAACATCGCAATCGAAGCAGCTATGATGCTCCGAAGAAGCCGTGAGGGAAACCCCACAAAAGCGAAGTCCCCTGAGCGGCATACGGATAGCCGAGATCGGGATCGGACAGGCCGGGATCGCTCCGGCAAGCGAGATGTATTCCGACCCCGCAAGACGGGGGATGCGCCGTATAGGATTACAAAAAATCCGAGAAATAACAATAATGCTATACCCGTAAAAGTGGTAGCTACAGGAAATAACTACACTACTGAAGCAAGAAAGGAAGGACGAGAAATGAACACCTACGGCCAGAACTACATAGCAAAGCCGCGGTTCAATCCGAAAATAGCCCATCTAGCGTGCCGGACGTGCGGCGAGAAGGGCCATTTGGCCGCGGATCATTTTACTGGAAACGCCAAGATGAACGCACTGGACGCCGTTGATGAGCGCCCAGAAGCGGAACATGAGGCGGTGCCGGACGGCGCCGCGACTGAGGAAGCCCCGCCAGACGAGGCAGAAAACGATGAAACATATTACCTAGAGGCCTATGAGGCTCACCAAGGCAACGAATATACTGACGATTATTCGTCTGACGGAGGTGAAGTCGTGTTCATGAATGAATTGCTTGTGGGCGACGATAACGCCCACAATGATGGACGCGACCCAGCGCCATTCGCGTACGCAGAACCTTCCCGAAAAGGTAAGCTCCCAGAACCACCGCGTGAAGCGCGGGATGCGATACGATCTGCGCTACATCGGGACAGCAATCTCAGCCGTCCAAAGTACCCGAAAGCCTGGACTGAACTCCTGGCAGCATATGTGTCAATTAATGGAGTCCGCGCCTGGACACTATTCGATCTAGGATCGAATACAGACGCGGTAAGTACTGAATTTGCACAGATTTGCGAACTCGACGTATTCAAGCTCGAGAATCCAATCACTCTGAAACTCGGATGCAAAGGCAGCCGTTCTAAAATTACACACGGCGGGTACTCGCGTACCGCTTTAGGAAGTATTAAGACTAATTGGTATTTTGACGTCGCCAATATAGCTCATTACGACGCCGTAGTTGGGCTGCCGTTCTGCGCGAAGCACGGCATTACCGTGATACCGGAGCGGCGGACAATCAAACTCAGGGACGGGACGCTTATTCCCGCCGAATTAGAAGGGGGAAGGAGTGGTGGCGGCGACAAATGGGCCAAGCCCGTCGAAGCCAAGCCTCGTTCCTTTCGGAAACAAACCTAAAATCAAATTGAATAGCCGCCGCCCACAGGCCAAAACAATGAGCCGTTCACATGAATCCAATACGCGAATGCCGAACATTTCTGAAAATAATGTACCTACCGTATTAACAATGGCAAGTGCCATTATAGACGAAGAAATCAAGGACATCAAATTTCCGGAAGAATTTGAGAATGCTTACAACGAACACAAGGCCTTGGAAGAGGCCCAGGCAAAAACCCCTTGGGGAAGGCGGATACCGTTCCCCGGACCGCCCAGAACACATACGTCACGCGCCCAAGAAGCGCTAAGCAAAGAAGACATCCCACGCCTGCGGGAGCAATGGCGGGAGCGAATTGCGGACATCACGGGTGATATCCCGCTGGAAAGACCGCCGTATAGAGAAGTAAATCACAGAATTAATATTATTGACCCCCGTAAGAGATACAGGGGCCATAGGCCACGATGCCCGGAGGCATATCAAAAAATATTGCAAGATAAAATAGAAAAGTACACTAAGGCAGGCTGGTGGGAATGGAAGCCAGTCGACAATGTGTTACCAATGCTATGCATCCCGAAGAAGGATGGGAAACTTCGGACCGTATTCGACTTACGAGAACGGAACAAAAACATGGTGCACGACGTAACGCCGATGCCGGACCAGGACCGAATCCGGAATGATGTCGCACGCGCGCGTTACCGAACGAAGCTCGATATGAGCGACGCGTACGAGCAGATCCGAATCGAGAAAGGTGACGTACACAAGACCGCCTTCTCGACCATTTTGGGCACGATGGTGTCCCACGTTATGCAGCAGGGCGACTGTAATGCGCCTTCTACATTCCAGTGCCTAATGACGCATCTATTTAGAGAACATATAGGTATATTCGTACATGTATATCTTGACGATATATTTATATTCTCTAATACCATTGAGGAGCACGAACGGCATCTCGAATTAGTATTCAACATACTGCGCAAAGCGCATCTGTACCTATCGAAAAAGAAGGTCGACCTCTATTCGGAGAAAATGGAGTGCCTAGGCCATCTGATCGATGGCCAAGGAATTCACGCGGAAACGGACAAATTAGAACAAATCCGTGAATGGAGGACGCCTCGGAATTACCGAGAAGTCGCCCAATTCCTCGGACTCGTACAGTACCTCGCTCAATTCATGCCGAATGTAGCTACTTACATGACGCCACTATCAAACATTTGTAGCGACAGAGCACCGTTCCATTGGCGACCGATGCACCAAAAGTGCTTCGATATGATTAAGACTCTGGCGTGTAAGGCACCCATTCTGAAACCGGTAAACTTTGATCACCCCGATCCGATCTGGGTTGTGTGTGACGCTTCGAAAACGGGCGTCGGAGCCTATTATGGGCAAGGCCCAGACTGGCGGACGTGCCGCCCCGCGGGATTTATGTCAAAGAAGTTCACTAACGCGCAACGAGGCTACGCAACGTACGAGCATGAAACACTAGCAATACTCGAAGCCCTCCTCAAGTGGGAGGACAAACTATTGGGTAGAAAAATAAACATCGTAACTGACCATGAAACTCTTGAGTTCTTTAAGAGTCAGAAGGATATGTCATATCGCCAACGGCGATGGTCTGAATATTTAAGCAGATTCGATTATACACTAACATACATTGAAGGCGAAACTAATGTTGTCGCCGATGCACTATCTAGATGCTACAAATCGGATAGACAGGGTGAGAACCCCGCGACGTACAATATTGTAGACGCGGATCGTCGACTCGATCCCGCGGGAGATGATCTCCCAGCACTGAGAAACGAAGAAATAGCTCACCTAAACGCCATGAGGCTACCGGAAGCAATTGAAAGCCGCGAGCTCGAGGCAGAAATGCTGGCGCCCGAAATAGACGTACCTGAAAGCCCGACGAGCGCGGGAACTGATGATCCTGCCGTATACGAAGCAGCGAGTGCCGTACCACTCGGCCCACAAATAATGAATGAACATACTGAATTTGAAGAAGCCGTAAAGGCCAACTACTCAAGCGATAATTTATTCAGTAAGGTACTACAGTATCCTACTGAACACAAGGCCTTCACGGCAAGGGATGGCTTACTGTTTGGGCGAAACCGCGCTGAGCGGGAAGTCCTATGCGTGCCGAGCGGCCGGCTCGGAGCCCGGAGCTTGCGGGAATTAGTCATTGATTGCGCACACCGGACTCTGGGACACCTTGGGTTCCAGAAGACCCTGGACTATGTCCGACGCTACTATTGGTGGCCACAGATGACACGTGAAATTGAGAAATTCTGCGCCACATGTCATATGTGTCAAACGACCAAAGACGTCAATCGGAAGCCCGAAGGACTTCTGCACAGCCTACCGGTGCCTGGGCGCCCATGGAGCTCAATTGCAATGGACTTTCTAGGACCATTCCCGAAGTCCAGAGGATTCGACTACTTATGGGTAGTTATATGTAGGCTAACAAGTATGGTACACTTGATACCGTGTACTACGAAATCTACAGCATCCGAACTAGCGTATATGTTTGTTCGAGACATTGTCAGATTACACGGACTGCCGGATACCATTGTATCGGACCGTGACTCGAAATTCAATTCGAAATTCTGGCGGGAAACGCACCGGATCCTCGGAACGAAACTGCTTATGTCAACTGCGTTTCATCCTCAGACAGATGGCGCCACAGAGCGGGCCAATTGGACCGTCGCACAGATCATGAGAACGTTAATCCGGCCCGATCAAACCGACTGGGTGGACGCGCTGCCACTCACTGAATTTGCCATGAACGCGGCGCGCTCGGAGACGACGGGATTCTCTGCGTTCGAACTAACCTACGGGTACGTACCGAGAATGCTGAACGAGTTCAGGATGGAATATACATCCCCGGGCGTAAGAGAATTCGCGTTGCATGCGAAACACTGTCTGGAACAGGCGCATGACGCCATTATCGCCGCACGCGTGCGCCAAGCACACCACGCGAATCGTAGAAGGCGAGACCACCAAGCCTATCGGCCCGGCGATCTGGTGTACGTCAGTACCGCAAATCTAAACTTACCCATCAAACGTGCACGTAAGCTAGCGCCCCGGTTCATTGGACCGTTCAAGATTATTGAAGCAAACAATGACGCAAGTGTTTGTCTGATTGATCTACCATCAGATCTCAAGGCACGGCACGTGCACCCACGATTTCACGTCACTAAGCTTCGGCCATACATGCCGAATGATGATGCGCTATTCCCTGGGAGGGATCCCGCTAACTTTTACGACTTCGGCCAGGCCGAGGACTTAGAGTACGAAGTAGAAGAAATTGTAACTCACGAATGGCACGGGGATAGTGTACTATTCCTTGTGCGATGGTCTCTGGGCGATAGCTCTTGGGAGCCGTGGGAAAATGTGAAGGACCTTGCGGCGATCACCCGTTACTTCGAAATCGAAGGAGTGACACGCATGGAAGACTTGCCAAGATCTCGGCTGCCGATCCGAGGCCTGCCTGCACCTGAAGGTGCGATAGTCACCCCGTACAGCGAGCGTCCTGTTGGACACAATGGAAAAATATTCTGGACGGTCGGTCCTTCAGGTATAAAAGTACGATACCATGCCCCTCAAACGCAACAACGAAGCCCTACTCGTACATAGTCGTACTTTAGTCGCACTACTTACTATGCCGCCTGCCAAGCCGTATGTAGTCGGACCAATGCGCGGAGCGCCGTACCCAGCGCCCGCCATCAATATTCCCAACCTGATGAAACAGGTTGAGAACCTTACCCAGCGCGTAGAAGCGCTGGAAGCCACTCTCGGTTACCCGAGTTACCAAGTAAGTACTCAATTTCGTACTCCGAAATGGGCGCGTTCTCACGAATGCGCCTAAGCAATCTGGGCCCGGGACCCAGTGGGTCCAGGATGTTGATGGGTACCCGGCCGCTCTGCCGGCTCCCATGGGAATGTCCTCCGCCTGGGGGGGGAGGGTCCGGATGGGCCGGAACGAGAAGACGGTCGCATAGTGGTCCGCCCATTCGCGCACGTAGGTGATCCTCGCCGACACCTCACCCGCGAAGAAATCGCAAAGNTAATGCGGGACCATGTGGTGCCGCCTACCGACATCGCATTC